AGGGGTCTGAGCCGCGCTGACCGCCACCCAAGAGTCTGTGCAGAAGCGGAGGCAGAGAACGCCCGATGGCGTGAACTGTGGAAACAGAGACGAGCGAAGAGGGGAGAGGAGTTCCGGCGGCCGCGGGCGGGGGGCCGTTCGCGCTTCGGGGCTCCGTTTGGAAACACGAGGCAGCAGGTTGGCGAGCGCGGAGGCAGGTGCGAGCCTGCGCCGCTGACTCACCCGCTAGCAGAGCAGGTGGCCTTCGCTTTCCAAACAAACACTGAGTTTTCCAGGCTCCTGCGGTCTCATGCTTTCCAACAAAGGCCATTTTTTAATTGTGCCAATATCTGAAACACTTTAAAAATCTGTCCCATAAATAGGAAATAGAATATAAAGAAACTCTCATACCAGAGTGAGTTACATTTAATATTTTGGTATGTGTCCTCCAATGCTTTTCTATGCTTATCTGTGCATATTGGACATAATTGGGATAATGCTTTTGCAAAGATGTCTTCTGCCCTTTTCACTTAACACTACTATGAGTCTCCCCCCCCCCACCGCCCCCCGTTTTATAACATGATTCTTAATGGCAGCATAAATGTACGAATAAATTGTTCAAACTTTTCTGTTTTTCTGTGTCGTTATGGATTCGTCTTTCGTGTCTCAGGCTCTATGAAGACGCCCAAGTATTGTTTAGAAGCAACTCTGTGTCTGCAAGAGGGAAAACTCCATCCACCTCTTGGAAACAGACTGTTTCAGGCCCCGGTCATACACCCAACAAATATTTAATCAGTGCACTGTCTGCCATGGCGCCAGGTGCAGGCCTGACCGTGAGCCAGGCAGAAACGGCCCACAATGCCTTCTGACCCTGGGTTAGTGGTGGCAGTGTCTCTTGGGTTAGTACATAAAATGAAATAAAACCAAGTTGTCATTGACAATTTCTGAATGGATGCCTGTTGAAAAGCTAGAGGAGACTAGGGAACAGAGAGAAGAGAGGAAAACTTCATTCTAACGGAACTTACCTTACTGTCAGCTCCTGCTGCAGACAGCATGGTGAAGGCCGGCTGGGGGACTCGCGAGCTGCTTCCAGGTGTTTCCAGGCAGCATGGGCAGGAGGAAGAAAGCACCTGCGACCACATTCACCTTGACGGAGGCCACCTCTGCCGGGAGGGCCTCGCACCGGCACCGGCACTGTGCGTCCTCCGTTCCTAGAGCCGCCTCAGCCCGGGGACCTGGAGAGACAGCAGCCCAGGCACACCCTGAGCAAGGCCCTGACTGCCCAAGGCCGGCATCTCAGGCGAGAGCGGGCTCGCTAGGTCACGTGGAAACGCTTCAGGAAAAGATCAGTGTGCTTCTGCTGCTGCAGTCCTAAGAAGGTCCTTACAGGCACAACACACGGAGTGCCTGGCAAGGGTGGGCCCTGGAAGAGCAGCCCTCAACTGGGATCGAATGCCAGCCCGAACGCTGCAGCATCGGACACTTCCTGCTGCAGATCTAGTTCCGGGAGTCTGTTTTCCTCAAAGGAAAAGAACTTAATTGGTCAGAAGGAAACCAAGGAGGGATCACAGATTTCCTGTACCAGCACCAGGGTTGTGAGGCCCCGCTCACCACTTCTCACCTCTCCCCACGTCCACGGCTCCCACCTGGCCCCGCACAGCTGCCCTGGAGCTCAGTCTCCCGAACCAGGTAAACCCTTTGAAACATAGATCAGGTGGCGTACATCACATTTTGAAAACATCACAAACCACTGCACCAGCCTCTCAGGCTCCATCTGGCCTGACCAGGCCTACCTCTCTAGCTCCGTGCTCTCGGGGTCCTGGTGGCCACTGTCCCAGCCTCAACAGCTCATGCCCCCCCTCCCCCCCCGTAGGGCCTTTGGAGTTGCTGTTCGGTCTGCCTAGGATGCTCTTCCTCCAGAACTTCACTTTGTTCAAGTTAGAGTCCAAATATCCTCTCCTCAAAACATGCACCTCCCACCTGTGTACTCATCTCATTCCTGTGGCTACTGTGACAAATTTCCCCAAACGTGGTCGCTTAAGACAACACACACTGATTCCCTGGCAGTTCCAGAAGTCAGGCATCCAAAACCAGTTTCACGGCCCAGATCAAGGTGTCGCAGGGCCGCTTTCCGTCTGGAGGCCCTAACCGAGACTTTTCCAGCCTCTACAGTCGCATTCCGTGGATTCTTGGTGCCCTTCTCCCTCTTCAGAGAATTGCCTTCTGTCTCTGCTGTGGTCCAATCTCCCGCTGCCTCCCTCTTATCAGGACCCTTACATCCAGGGCCTGCCCAGATCATCCAGGACAGTGCAAGGGGAAATGCAAGTTAAAACTAAAAAAGACAAGTTTGCATTCCTGGTGCAAAAAGAGAGAGACTTTCCCCATAGCCTTTCCTTTCCTTAGAATACCTGTCATTGTGAATGTTTCTCTGTCTCTTTGAGATGTGTGTATACAGAAGCCTCTTGCCAGCTTTACCACCCAGGACTGTCTCTCTCAGGGACCTGGAAGCCATCTCTTTGAAATGTAAATATCAAGGGAGACAGCGCCCTGTCTCCCTGTCCCCATGGGAGGCTGGGACCCTAACCTGGGTGGACACCTGGATCCTAGCTGCAAAACTACCTCCTGTCATAAAGGTATGAGAAGCGTGTTTTTCCTCTGGACAAAGGCAATTAACCAGCGCCCCCATTCCCAGGTGAATCTGGGATGAACTCTGTGTGACAAAGGTCAAGTCCTCTCACCGGAGGACTAGTGACTGTGTACCTGAACATGTGTGTAACAGACTGCACCTGCTGGGCTGTGTAACAGGTGAGATTTCTTTCTGTCTTTGCAATCTCCTGGTGGACTTCCTGTGATGTGCATCTCATTCTGGTGTGGTGATTAGTCAATAATAAAACTGTTTTGTGTGTTTTTTTTCTCTCCTAACTTTGTGGGGAGCTTTCTTGGTTGGGTAGGCAATTTTGTGTTTTAATTCTATTTGCCCAACATAATCTCCCCATCCCAAAATCCTTAGTTTAATCACATCTGCAGTCCCTTTTGCCATATAACATTCACAGGTTCTAAGGATTAGAACATAGACAAGCCCACCATCCACTCCTGCCCCATCACCTTCAAGCCCCCCCCCCAACTTGGTCTTACTGTTCTTCTTAGCACTTAGCACCTACTTGAAATTATTTAGGCATTTGTTCATTTAGATGGTTTGTCTAGTTAGCTACCACAACCAGGCCCTGGAAAGGTGTCAGGCCCATGGTGGGTACCCAGTGTTTGTGGACCCAGTGAGTGAGGAGATGAAAGAGCTTGACCCCTTGGGTAAGTGAATTTGATTAGACCACACGAAGCTGCCTAAGAAGCAGCCTGAGCCCAGTGTTTACCTCAAACTCTCTCCCTTGGCTACTGCTTGTTGAGCAGGTGTCGGGAGCCCCGCAGAGCTGCTAGTTCAAGTCAGTATGTGAACGAGGTAAAGAGCAAGAAACTCAGAAGAAAACTTGAGTCTATAACTCTCTCATTGTTGGAGGCAGTGCCTTAAACATAGTCTTCCATCTGGAACACTATTCCAGAATCATTGGAATGCAGGGTCCCCATCAATGACGTTTACCATCCTGGTCTTAGGACCAGACATTGCAAGAAAACGCTGGAACAAGTCCTCCCGATGTCTCAGGGAAGAAAGGCTTGACTTTACCTAGAAATCTACATTTTTACCCTTTCAAGGTCGAATCCCATCTATTATTACAATGCTATGTTTTGTTCAACTCCAGACTGGAATCAAACTATGTCTTTTTCAACATAATTTAAAAGATGAATTTAGAAGCCAGTGTGTAACTGTTCTTGGTTTAAAATCTACTAAACACCAAGCTTGACTTGGAAATACAAGGAAATTCTAACAGAATCTCCACAGTCTTTGTAGTTTAGCAGAAGCGGGTATATTTTCAAGTGTCTTGTGTCCTGTGAGTGGCGTGTGCTGCTGTTGCGAAAGCCATCTGTCCATGTTCACCAACAACAAAAATGCTGT